CAGCAGAGCCCAAGCTCCTTCTGAGTCCCAACTCCCTGGAGGGCCTGGCTCCTGGCTTCCTTTATTAGCCTCTAGACTTGTTTTCCTCACTTTGGGCTTGTTTACCAGCAACATGTGTTTTTGAAGCCCTTGTTTCCAAGCCAAATAGTGAGAGTGAGATGCTTGGCTGGTATCAGCTGCCCGAGTAAGAGGCCAGCCCTGGGCCTGGTCTTTGTCACTGTATCCTCTGGAGGCTGGACTTATGCAGACCAACAGGGGCAATATGTCCTTTGTTCCACCCAAACACCCCTTTCTCCCTGGGCTTATGAAGCACTGGAATTTTGCACTGAATTCTTTCGGGGGATGGAGATTCTGGGATCCTCGGACTTTAAGATGTTTTTCCCAGCGACGACATTGCTTACCTCTTTATTTGGATTCTCTTGTGTAAATCACCGATGAGCCTTTCAAGATTGGTATGTTGTTTCCATTTTACACATTGGGGAACAAATTGAGGCCCCAAGAGGTAAAGTTGATTTCTAAAGGTCATACAATTGCTAAGTGGCAGAGCCAGGATTTGAACCTATATAGACTCCAGAGCCCATGAGCTTACCTTTATGCTGTACTGCCTCATAGTTGATTACCACTCTGTCTACCATGGTAGCCACTAGCCACCTTATATTTAAGTTGATTGAAATAGATGGGCATGGTGGCTCATGCCTGTAATCCCACCTCTTTGGGAGGCTGAGGCGAGCAGATCGCTCGAGGTCAGGAGTTTGAGACCAGCCTGGGCAACATAGTGAAACCCCATCTCTATCAAAAAAATAGAAAAATTAGCTGGGTATAGTCACATGTGCCTCTGGTCTCAGCTACTCAAGAGGCTGAAGTGGGAGAATCGCTTGAGCCTGGGAGGCAGAGGTTGCAATGAGCTGAGACTACGCCAACTGCACTCCAGTCTGCGTGACAGAGGGAGACCCTGTCTCAAAAAAAAAAAAAAAAAAAGATGTTTTCCACTATTCTCTATTGCAGTATTTCAACAAGGTCTGGGTTAAGTAAGATTTTTAGGACTGTCCTCAGTCCTTTTGTATAAAATTTTAAAATAAAAAAATTGGTTAAAATGAAATACAATTTAAAACTCAGTTCTTCATTTGCGCTGGCAACATTTCAAGCATTCAATAATCACTTGTAACCAGTAGCTATCATAGTGGACCGTGTAGATATAGAATATATTCATCATCTTGGGAAGTCCTGTTGGGTTGCATTACTCCATAAATTCTTTCCACCCAAATAAGATTTAAAGATGGCAACTCAGTTTCTTTGCTTCACATTCTAAGAGTCTATCATTCTGAGACCCACAGTGCATGATTCTATGATTCTGAGGTATCCCTCCTATTCTAACGTTCAGTGGCTTTTTAGCATCCAAGGAGAGCCCAAAGGAGGCCCTTTATGTTTTGAGGGACAAACCTGGGGGCTGGCTGTACTTTTCCATCCTCGGAGTCTTTCCAGAGAGAGAAGTGACCTCAGCTTCAGGTCCTGCTGGCAGCCAAGGACGGATTTTCAGCAGTCTCCAGAGCAAATAAAGGCAAAAGGAAGGGACTCAATGTACGGAACAGGAGGCAGTGAGTGGCGGCCGGGAGGGGGCTAAGACTGTCTGCATTTGATGGCTACCAAGCCAAGGGAAATATGCCTCCTCTTCCTCCCCTGGCCCTGGGCATTTTCCTTTCCAGGAACTCAGTCCAGTTCAAGACCCAACTGAGCCCCATTCAGGTGACCACCTGGGAGTGGGTAACTGCTAAGGGAAATAGTGTGCAGAGGTAAAGACATGCCAGTGGTGGGGTAGGGTTGCATGGGTCCTCACCCTAGTCCTGCCACTCACTCACTGCTATCAGCTGTTGGCAGGTTTCTCCTTTCCTCTAGGCCTTGGTCTTCTCATCTGTACTATTGGGCAGAAAGATGTGGCTTGAGTCCCTACTGGGATGCTGGATTATGAAAACACCCTGAAAATGATAAATGTATGCATCATCACAGACTAAAGAAATACAAAAGAGGATGTTTTCATTTAATGTTGGTCATTTATATGAAGGGAATTTAAATTTTCACCAGGCACACTACACCTAGGTTTGATTGGCAAAGGATCACAGCTGGTAAGTTCTGAATACTGGGGTTCGACACTGTGCTCTGATCTTGCTGGGGTGACTGTTATACTCCATTAGCTTTGCAGGATGGACGCAGGCCTCTTTGGTCAGTGGTGGTTTAGAGAGCCTCAGAGAGGTATCCTGTGGGAAGCAGGGAGTATGGCTGTGCATCTGGAATAGTTCAGCCACTTCCCTTCCCTCCCATCTCATCATCTGGGGGAAAAGCACTCTGGGACTGGTGGTGTAGCACTGGGTACTGTGCAGGACCCAAATTTTGTGTTTGTTTTTACAGTTTTCTCCCAAAACTTTGAGGGAGTATTCCAAGATTTTGCATTCTGTTCTTAACAGTCTCTCTGTATTTCTCCCCCACTCCCACCTGTCTAAGCATAATTCCTATCAGGCTCACCCCAACTCCATGAGCAAGAACGCTTGCCTATTTGGAGAGGACCTGAATGTTGCATGACTCTGGACAAGTGCTTCCTCCCTCTCAACCTCAGACTCCCCATTAGGACTGTGGGACTAAGAACCCTTCCATGACTGTCTGCCTCCTTCCCAGCATTGTCAGAAGGCTCTAGGAGACAGTGTTATGTGACAGTGCTTTAGAAACTATGAAGCAGCACTGTAAGACTTAGAGTTATTTTTCTCTTCTGGCTGCAACAGCAGGGATGAGGGTGGCAAGGGAGGGTGAGTGTGCAGCTGGAAAAGGAATTCAGGAAGATGGGGAGGCAGGATAGACGGAAGAGCTGCCCAGCGAAACCTTCCCCTGGTCACAGGGAAGCATGGTTACACTGCTCATGTGCAGGACACAGACTCAGGGAAATGTCTGTCTTCCTGTCTTTCTAATCTGAAGCTTACTACATTTCCAGTCCTAGCTGGGCTATTTCTTCAATAACATGACTTCCCTGTCATTGTAACGCAGACAGGGTGACTTTGTTTTGTTTTGTTTTAGCTGCCATTTCACTTTGATCCTTCGACTTCAAACTGTCTCAGAAAGTCCTTCCTTGATGTTTTCTTTTCTGTTCCATTTGTCCTGAGCCACATGCAGGAGTTATTTATGTTGCGTCTTCCAAAAGGGGAAGTAAGAAGGGAGATTTTTCCACTTAAGCCTGGGGAACAAGTGAACAACTGTGTGAGGGGAGGAACATTCCACAAGCTGCCTCCAAAGGGAAGACTAGACTCCTCTGGGAGTTGGGGTCATTGTAAAGCAATACCAAACCCCCAGGTCCTTTAAATTTCTGTTAGTTTTATTTCATTCACTCCATGCAATAGGGGGTGAGGTTTTGTGTCTCTTTAGTTCCAAGAAAGGACCATTATGAAGTCGGCCCTTCCTCTGCCTGTTTCTGCTTCTCAAATGCTATAGTACAAGTGAAGCCAAATGATCCCAGAGGAGATGATATGTGTCAAGACCAGAATGTTCTTGGGGTGTTTTAAGAGCCTTTTAAGGACCGAGGCTGCCACTTCAAAGTTCACGTAGTCTACCCCTTTCAATTGATAGATGGGGGAACCAAGGTCTAGAGAGACCAAAAGACTTAACCGGTACATCAAGATACTATTGTGGTAGAACAAGAACTCCTGGCATTTAATTTCAAGCTGAGTGTTTTTCTCCATGATGCCAGGTTACCTCCCACCACCATTTGGTCAGTTGAGAAGTCTTGGAAGAATTAAGGGATGATGAGCCTGACAGGGAGGTTTTGGGAGAAAAAAGATGGAAGACATGGCCATTGTTGCTCCTGACTGGAAGACTATGTGTGGGTAGAGAGAGCAAGTTTGTTCTTTGTGGCTGCAGGGGAGGCAGGGTAGACAGATCAGAAGGTTTGAGGGAGGCAGATTTAGATCAGTAAAAGAAAGAACTTTCTAAAGTCACTTAAAAATGAAAAGCCATTTAGTTAGCACAAGAAATGAAGTGTCTCCACCACAGAGCCTCTGTTAGGAATGGCATTTTGGTTTTGAATCCTCAGAGGAGATGCTGCTCCAACATCCCTTATAGTCATGAGAGTATTAGAGTCTAGAGCTTGCCATTTAGAGAATGAGGCCTTAACAGTTACCAGAACAGGGATATTTTCAAGATCTCAACACATCCCCTCTGCAACACATGGAAGCATCTGGATGGTTTCCTTACAGGACTAAAGAACTGCTGTCCCTTCTGGGTAGAATGGAGAAAAATGTGGCCACCCTCAAGTTTCCATGGGTTACATTCCAAGGCTATTGTTCTTTGTTTTAGTATGTGGATCTCATTGTCTCAAACTGGCAAGAACTTGCTGCCTATTAACTTCTCCCACTGCAGAGGGAGTAGGAAGGAGGGGGAGGAGGCTACAGAGAAGGAGGAGGAGAGATTGGGTTTAGGGAAAAAAATAATTTTAGAATATCAGGGATTGAAGGGACCTTGAAGATGGTCTGGTTTGGCATTGCCCAAACTTAGCTAATTAGCCCATCACCTTAGTTGAATCACTTTTTTAAAACTTTAATAAATGTATTATGAAAGCAGATTTTATATCATTACCATAAATGGAAAACTCTGTGTACCTTTGTCATAAATAGAAGGAAACTGTAAAAACAAACACATAAAAAAAAACCCAAAAACAACAACTTTATTCAGTTCCAGCTGGATATAATTTCCTGTGGAAGCTCTGAGCTGAAGGACTGTTCTCTCTGTTAAAAAAGGAGATAGATGAGTATAAAGGAGGAGTTCAAGATATCTTAGCACCAAACTGAGACTTTCTTTTCATATAAGCAGAATTGAAAGAATATTAAATGGAACCAACTTCCTCTCATGTTTTTCACTACCATTTAACTTGTACCATCTAACATTATCTTGCACATATCAGGAATTCAGAAATCTCAATCAGGAAGTCTCACCCTCACTGAACTCTCAATCTCTCCTCCCCATAGGGTTCCCAGCACCATGAGGGCCTGGATCTTCTTTCTCCTTTGCCTGGCCGGGAGGGCCTTGGCAGCCCCTGTAAGTACCTAAATATCATATCTTCTTGTTTTCATTCCTACCACCAGCTCCAGGGGTTCTGAGCCTACCAGCCCTGGATGCTGAAAGGGAACAGGGACTTCCCCATTTCAAGTTAGTTGTCTTTTTTTTTTTTTTTTTAAGATTTGTTTTTCTTAAGTTAATAAGCTCAGGAGAAAAACTGGGATGAGGACCATTGGGTGATGCTTCAGAGAAGAGAGAGTTCCATGTAATGTTAGCTAAACTTCTTAGTAGTCAGAGCCTCCCAGCAATGAACTAGGATTGCTTTAGAAGGAAATGACCTCTTTGTCATATGAGGAATTCAAGCAGGCAGGAGACGGGATGTAGGGGATTGCTGGTAGGGGTGGTGTTAGAAGAGATTCAAGCTATAGAGAGAGGAACGTGTTGGCTTCTGAAACAGCGAGGGTTGTTTGGTTGTAAGCAACCGTTCAATCTAACTAAATTGTTGGAGGAGGGGAAGATACAGAGGTCGATTATAATATTAAAGGCCTTGGGAGGACTGGAAAAGGGCAAATCTAGGCTTTGGGAGTTAAGAACTAATGGACAGTCTCTGAGATGTTGCTATCTGAATGAATCAACTCCAGCAATTTTCACATCTTGAGAGAATGTGCCAAGAAGATTTTTAAAAATTCAAAAAATGAGAGCCAATCTGGCTGAGCTTGGGTCCTGAGGCAACATCTTGGCCAGGGAAGGGTGGGGCCTCTTGATTGACAGACAGCTTCTCCAAGCATTACATGCAGAGGACAGGAGTAGTTATCCACAGCCCATCTGGAAGCCTTCACCAGGAGAGGAGGAAGAAGCAGGGCAGGCAAAAAGTGCAATTTCTTTCAACCTGTGATCCCCTCATCTTTTCTTCACTAAGAAGTGGGAGTGATGGCAGACTTTGGCAATCTTGATCAGGCTGGTAGATGGAGGCAAAAGTTTCTCAAAGTTGGCTTTAAGTTTTGAAGCAGCCCCAGCCACCTAGGGGCCTCAAAGTTGTGTGTTTTCTTGCTTTCTCCTACTCCAAGTTGAAATGGCAAGAAACATTGCCTAATAATAATAATAATATCAGACTGTGAGGAAGATGATGACATCTGTTAAAATTCACAGTGTCATCCCTTCTAGATGTCAGTTTTCCTATCTGTAAAGTGAGGGAATTGATCTGGATCAGTGATTTTCAGACTTTATAAGAATCAAAGCAGCAGAAATACTTTTCCAAGCTAAATCTTAGGTAGACACCTTGGATATAAAATACATAAAATGAGAGCTGCTTGAGCATTCCACGGTGCTCACATGACTGGCTCCTTCTTTGTCCTGTCCCTCACCCATGGCAGTCCGTGAGACACAACTTTGGGGGTCTCCAGTGAGCTGCTCTCCAAGCCCCCCTAGCCTGTATCTCAGGCCACAGGCACTTTGGAGGTGAAGCTGGCCTCATTCCTGACCCCCCTGAACCCTACTTTCTCTTTCCAACAGCAGCAAGAAGCCCTGCCTGATGAGACAGAGGTGGTGGAAGAAACTGTGGCAGAGGTGACCGAGGTATGTGGGCAGTGACCACAGCCCCTTAGCCCCTCTCTACCTGTTTCTGTGCCCTGAGAAATTAGGGCAGGTGCTGTGGGTCTCAGTGCTAGAGTGGGGCGTTCATCTCCGTGTACACACATAGCATCGATGCAAACCCTGAGTATCCCCCACATCCTGACACACTCCTGAATGCTTCCCAAACCTTCAACAGAACCCTACGTTTGGGGGCCAAGACCTTAAACTTTTTGTTTTTTAAGCTGTGGAACAACTGTTCTTCCATGTTTACCCACAGTTTCCCCAAACGTAAAACAGAGGAGGGCGGGTGCTGTGGCTCATGCCTATAATCTCAGCACTTTGGGAGGCCGAGGCAGGCGAATCACAAGGTCAGGAGTTCGAGACCAGCCTGGCCAACATGGTGAAACCCCATCTCTACTAAAAATACAAAAAAATAGCTGGGCGTGGTGGCATGTGCCTGTAATCCCAGCTACTCAGGAGGCTGAGGTAGGAGAATCGCTTGAACCCGGGAGGCAGAGGTTGCAGTGAACCAAGATATCGCCACTGTACTCTAGCCTGGGTGACAGTGCAAGACTCAGTCTCAAAAAATAAAAAATAAAAAAATAAAAACCACACACACACACAGAGGAAAGGGGAGATGCTTGGGTGTGACTGGCAGGGGTGGAGGCTTGACACCCTCTTGTGAACATAGGTCTCAGTCAATTTAGAAAGTTTATTTTGCCAAGGTTAAGGATGAGCCCATGACACAGCCCCAGGAAGTTCTGAGACATGTGCCCAAGGTAGTCGGGAGTACGGTTTGCTTCTATACATTTTAGGGAGACATGAGACATCAATCAATATGTCTAAGTTGTACATTGGTTCAGTTCACTAAGGCAAGACAACTTGAGAAGTACAGGCTTCCAGGTTAGAAGAAGATAAGAGACAAATGGTTGCATTCTTTTGAGTCCTTGATCAGCCTTCCCTTGAATGCACAATTTAATCTGGCTCAGTGAATCTGCATTTTTACATAAACAATAGGGGAGAGGAAGCAATCAGATAAGCATTTGTCTCAGGTGAGCCTCAGAGGGATGACTGCATAGAATAGGAGGCGGGTTTGTCCTGTGCAGTTCCCAACTTGACTTTTCCCCTTAGCTTACTGATTTTGGGGTCCAAGATATATTTTCCTTTCACGCTGTCTTTCCCTAACACCCCTGGTGGCCTCTAAGGCAGCTCAACAGAATCCCGGGCATACTGCGAAACACAACAGGCCTATAGATTAAATCTGGATTCCTAACCCTGCATTTGTGCTTTCTGTGACCTGGAACCCTTCAGCTACCCTTATGGGTCTGGGATGGGAGTGGGGACCATTTTACCCTTTCTTCTCTCTCAATTCCAGGTATCTGTGGGAGCTAATCCTGTCCAGGTGGAAGTAGGAGAATTTGATGACGGTCCAGAGGAAACCGAAGAGGAGGTGGTAGCTGAAAGTACGTCCCTTCCCTGTGACTTGGCACATCCAAGCTGCCCTTGGCTGCCTGGGTCTGGGGCATGAGGACAGCCTACATGAGGCTCCTTCCAGCAGAAATGCAGGGTGGGGTCCTCAGTGGCTATGGAGGAAACATGGCTTTGACTTAATAACTGGGGAACTATGGCACTCAGTCCCCTGGGATCTGGGCAAGATCGGTTTCCAGGCCATGCATGTGTGTGGTAGGAAGGAGAGTTCTCCAGCTAAAAATGGCCTTTTCCCCTCATAGCTCTTTGCCCTGAGTCCAAAGCTGAGTTTCCCAGTCCCACGGAGGTTGCTGATCACATCAGGTCGCCAAAATCCCCCATTGCTTCTGTCTCAGCCCGTGCCCCACAGAGGAATAGATCTGAGAGAAGAGATCAGGAACTTGCACACTTATAAGCTCATTCTATTTCACACAACCCAAGGAAACGAGGTCCTGAGGAAATGCAATCTGACATAAACCATACCATGCTATCCGTGCGTTAGTGCCCTGGGAGAGAAATGACCTAGGGGCTCTGGCTGCAGCCCTAGGTGCAAGGCATTTGTACCCAAGGGGTTAAAAGCATGGACTTTGGAAGCAGTCCAACCAAGTTTTGAACCTAGGTTTCTCCACGCCAGCTTGCTTAGCATCGCAGAGCCTCAGTTTCTCATCTCTCATATAGGGCTGATGAAGACAGCAGAACCTCATTCCAGGGCTGTCAGAAGGTTTACAGACAAGCTGAGTAGGCATCCACTAAAGGATTATTAAAACACCCAAAATAAAGCATCGCTAGGTAAAGGCCACATTAAGCTCTCATCCTGAGGGGATAGTTAATGGTATTCGATCTAGCTGGGCACAGGGTTTCTGTTGGAACAGAGGGACGTCTACTGAGTCATGTTCCTTCCCGCCTCCACGCCCACCTCATCCGGTGTTTACCAGGCTCTATTGTCTAGCGTGGACCTTGGGGCTTTTCTCCCTTGTCCTTACAGCTGCTTAAGTCTGTTTTGTTGGGCCTCACCGCTCCCTGGCTCAGTGTCAACAGCTGACTTTCTAAGCCATTCTAGAAAGCCTATTCTGGAATCCAGAAAAGCCTCACTGTGATTGTTCAGTGGAGACCCAGGAACACAATGGTTGCTTCAATCTTCGGGAAAGTCATATGGCATCTAGTGTTTTTGGGTCCCAGACTGAGCCTCCAGCCCCCCAAAAGGGCCTGACCTCTATCTCGAGCTAAACCTCTAATCCCCAGCTGAACCAGCTGCTCCCCTAAATGCTGACTGCAAGGCTCAGTGTAAGAGCAGGCAGGACTCAGGGCCGCCCAAAGCCCAGAGTAGGGGCCACAGCCAAGGACTGTCAGCCCTGAGATCTGTCCAGGTAGGATGGGGATAGATGTACTAGTCCAGGTGATGCTGATTCCCTTGTTTTTCTGCCCTACAGACCCTTGCCAGAACCACCACTGCAAACACGGCAAGGTGTGCGAGCTGGATGAGAACAACACCCCCATGTGTGTGTGCCAGGACCCCACCAGCTGCCCAGCCCCCATTGGCGAGTTTGAGAAGGTGAGGGCTGAGAGACAGGGGCGGGGGTAGGGATTGGGCACTTTGGAATATAGGATGTCTGCTCAGGAAACTGTCGGCTTGGTGGTTCTATGGGGGCAGCGCCAGTCTCAGAAGTCCCCTTACTAGACCTAGTCCCAGCAGGAAAGAGGGGATGAGTCAGAGTGCTCTGCCTGGCACTGGATCTTTCCAGCAACCAGCAAGACTTTAACAGCACCAACAGGTTCCAAGTCCTATGCCAGACTCTAGAGCTAAGAGTATAAGAGCATCAGCAAAGAATCAGGTCCAAAAATATAGGTTCTGGGGCCAAACCGAAGGCTGACTTCAAACCTCATCTCCATCACTTGTTAACTGTGAGATTTCAGCTAAGTTGCCAAACTTTTTCAGGTCTCAGTTTTCTCACGTCCAAAGAGAGGATAAAAATAGTCCTTAACTCATAGAAGTGTTGTGGACATGTACCAGAAAATGCTTGGTACATAACAAGTATCCAATAAATGCTACTTATTTTTAAATTATTTCTCAAATATGTCCCTTCTCTCCAATAGGACCCATCCCTCCATCCAACCATCCATCCATCCATCCATCCATCCATCCATCCATCCATCCAAGTAAATATTTTTTGAGTGCCTGCTCCTGCCCACCATCATGCAAGTGGCAGTCTCTCTCATGGCAGCAAATCTGGGGCCAGCATTGTTCCTACAGCCTCCCATCTGGCTTCTCCCTCTTCAGTTTCTCCGGAGACTACATAGCCTCTGGGCTCCACATTTTAATATCATTGTTAACATTTTCCTCCTCCTCACCCTTCCCCACTCCCAATGCCCAGTCACCAGTGCCCATCAGTTCTCCCTCTGCAGTGACATATAAGCTATACTAAGCAAGTACAGACAGGATGTTCAACACAGGCTCCCCTCCTCCTAACACAACTACTTACGGCCACTGCCCTCGTCCAGCCCTCAACATCTCTGCTTGGCCACCCCTATGTTCAGAGATTGACTAGGACTCCAGTGGCTCAGCATACAGTTGTACTCACAGCTAAGGTTTAGTACAGCGACATATTCAGGATATACAGCTGGATCGTAAGGGAAAAAGACACAGGAAGAGTCTGGAGGAATCTGGGTGAAGACTGACTTACTCCCATGAGGGGTCATCAGAGTGCATTCTTACCCCAGCTACAAAGATGCAACCACATATGAGTGATGTTTCTGTCCAGGGAAGCTCATTAGAGACTCAGCACCCAAAGTTTTAATTGGAGGCTGGTCACATAGGTACCCTTTGCCTAGCATGCACCAGAATTTCACACTTCCAGAAGGAAAGCAGATGCTCAGCATGAACCAGATTGTTTGTACAAACAGTCCAGGCATAGTGAGCCACTCTTATCAGTTAGGGAAATATTTACAACAGTGCAGGGAACTGTTTCCCGGCTAAGTTCCCAGACACCAGCCACAGGCTGACCTTACAAGCAGGCCTTTCTAAGGGTAACAGTTCCAGGCCTGCTATGTTAACTCTTCTTTGAACACTCTTGTTTCTCTCCCATTCCCATCTTTAACTTTCTCTTCAAATATCTTCCAGGATTTTTTTTCCCCTGTGTCTTAGACCTGACTCAGTCATGCCTCTGCTCAAAGACCATCGATGGCTCTCAGCCTGGGCTGAGCATTGACCTGGGAACCCAAAGAGTGGATTTGTGTCCCACTGTATGGGGACACAACCCACTGTATGGCCTCGGGCTAATGACATTCCTTGCTTAACCCTCGCTGTTCCCATCTCTGAAATGCACAAGGATAGTGGTATCAGCTAAGGGCTGTGGGAATGAAGGAGGGGGTGCTCTGTGCTTTGCCAACAGGTGTGCAGCAATGACAACAAGACCTTCGACTCTTCCTGCCACTTCTTTGCCACAAAGTGCACCCTGGAGGGCACCAAGAAAGGCCACAAGCTCCACCTGGACTACATCGGGCCTTGCAAATGTGAGTGTCCTTGGGCCCTTCCAGACTCCTGTCTTGGGGAGAGAGCTCTGAGCTGGCACTGATGCTGGCTCTGCCACCCCCATGCGGGGTGATCTTGGGCAAATCTCTTTCCCTTTCTGAGTCTCAGCATCCCCATTTATAAACTGAGGTAATCGTCTATGAGTCGGCTCCTCTCAACTCTGAGGTCAGGGTACTTTCTGGGGAAGGACTGAGCGACTATGGAAGGTCAGCATCAGGGAGGGTTTCTGGGGTCTCTCACTAGCATCGGAGACAACCGCGTTTCATTTCTCTAACGGGGAAGAAGTTCTTCTCTAAGGCTAACTTGCACCTTTCTTGCTTCAACACTATAAAGCAAAAATGATGTTTGACCTGGGCCTACAAAATATTTTGAAAATATCTGAATTTGAATGCTTTAAAATAAGGGTTATGCCTGTCAGTTTGCTTTGGGCCCTGTTACTCAGTACTGTCATATCATCATCCTTTTACTCCATTACATTCCTATCTGCCCTCTGAAGAGAGAGGATAAGCACCCTCTTCCAGAAACCTAGGAGCCCGTTGTCTGGGGAAGGATGCCAGGGTGCGGTCTGATCTTTGGTTAGTGACCCCAGCTACAGACTCAGTGGGGCCAAGTCCCTTGTTCAGCATCCTCCCTGTCATGGGAGACCTCCAAGACCACACCTGCTCCCACTCCAAGGCAACATCCACACTGTGGGTCTTGTACATTCTGGCCCGATGGCAATGAGGACAGCCACTCACCCACCTCAGGTGCACAGGGTGCAGAAAAGTACGTAGGGGAAACAAAGTTCTCCTCGTGGGGCCCCAGGTGTGAAATTGAGAAGGTACAGAGTAGAGAAGCAGGATTGGGGGAAGAAGCATGGGTAGGAAGTCCCTGGGCAGTGAGACTATAGTGCCTGTCTTAAGGAGCCTTTACGAAGTGCCTTTGCTTTCCCTGAGGCATGTTGCCCACTCACTCCAACTCCTAAGGTTTTTATCACCAGATGTTCTCTCCCAGCCCCCAGCTAATAATGAAGGTAGCCTCACAGAGGGGACTTTCCATGGTCCAGTGATGAGGGAACAGCAGACCCTAAGCCTCCAGGCGACCACACTGCCCTGGCTGCTGGATGGGGCTCTGACAGTGTGGCCTTGAGCAAGTCCCTTCTCTCCATGCTGACCTCTAACAAGTCCAGTACAAAGTGTGAACTTCGGTCAGGTGCGGTGGCTCACGCCTGTAATCCCAGCACTTTGGGAGGCCGAGGTGGGCAGATCACAAGGTCAGGAAATTGAGACCATCCTGGCTAAC